CCATCTGCTAATGCAGCCACTGGTCTCCCCAGTTCCACCGTACAGCCCTGCACCGCTCCTCACTGGAGGGACACACGGACATCCTGCAGAAGCTGCTGGACAGCGGGGCCACCGTCGACTTCAGGGACCGGGTGAGGCTGGATCCTGCCCTTGGCTCCATGCTGGTCTGAGCCTCTGGGCATAGCACAGACAGCAACAATGGGGTTCAGGTCCCTGCAGCAGGATAGCGTTGTCCCCACCACTGAGGTGGCTGTGGGCAAGGGTCTGCCAGCTCAGCCCAAGCAAAAGGACTGACTGGGGTGGGGGACGGACATGGAGTGGGGCTGTCCCCTGACATGACACAGCTCTGTGTGCCCAGCTGGATTGCACTGCCGTACACTGGGCTTGCCGGGGGGGGCACCTGGAAGCTGTGAAGCTGCTGCAGGACCGTGGTGCAGACCTCAACGTGAAGGACAAGGTGTGCAGGGCAGAACTCGGTGGCACTGAGCTGTGCCAGGGGCATGGGCATGCCCTGGTGGACCAGGGCTGGCCCTGTATTGGGCTAGCAGGGGTGGGTCCTGAGACCCTCTGGTGTCCATCTCCTGCCCTCTCAAGCTGCTCAGCACCCCACTCCATGTGGCTACCCGGACTGGGCACCTTGACATCGTGGAGCACCTCATCCATTGTGGGGTGGACATCAACTCCCCGGACAGGGTGAGTGCTCTGGCCACTCAGCCAGCACTAGGAGGGCAACACTGATCCCCCTTCCATTGGCTGACCCCTCTGGGGGTTCCCAGTACCTGCAGTGGGGGGCCAAGCACCATCCCCCTTGTCCTCATGGGAAGGTGTGTGCACGGGGAGTTGGGCGTCCCTGTCCCCGGAGCTGGATCGCAATCCCCAGCCAGGCTGTGCCTCTCTTAGGAAGGTGACACAGCACTGCATGATGCCACACGGCTCAGCCGCTATAAGATCATCAAACTGCTGATCCTGCATGGGGCCGACATGATGGCCAAGAACCAGGTGAGTGGCACGGGCAGCACTTGCTCAATTTGCTGTGCCACTCTGGTCCCAGCCTTTTTCTGCTCGCTTTTGCAGGCTGACAAGACCCCGACAGACCTGGTGCAGCAGTGGCAAGTGGACACGCGCCATGCGCTAGAGACCAAGGAGCAACCACAGGAGGAGGCAGAGGTCCCCGCGTGATGGCACTGGGCAGAGACCAGGCGCTGGGCTCAGCTCCAGGGAGCAAGATTCAGCCCAGGCTTGTTTGTGTCAATAAAAACCAAGAAAGAGCAGTGTTTGACTCCAGGGGGCTATGGGGCTGGGCAGCCTGCGCTAGGGGTGATGGGGCTGGGGAAACTGGGTTATCCACGGAGCTGGGATATCTGGCAGCATGGACATGCACTTCCTCCTAGGTTAGGGACTCGAGTGTCGGTGACACCACGGGGCCAGGACACAAGTGGTTCAAGGGAGGCATTCCTCACTGTGGGATGCCCTGATTGCTCACAGTGCTTCAAAGTCCCACCTGGACAAGCTCAGGGAGGAAAACTACATCAAGGGTAGCTCAATCTGAGTCCACACTGTGCTGGAGGGTGGGATTGCACTGGAGAGGAGCAGTCCTATATCCCTGCCAAGCAGGCACTCTGTGGGGCTTGTTCTGTCTTCCCCACTTCCCATCCCTGTGGGGACATGGCAGCTCCTTTGCAGGCTGGGTCACTTCTGCCAAGTGCAGTGCTCATTGCTCCCTACTCAGAAACACTCCAGCTCACCCATTTACAGGAGACCCGACATCAACACCAATAGCAGGTGAACCCTGCCCACAGCCCTGAGACTTCCCACAATGCCTGATCCCTCCCCGGCCCTGCAGTCCACTCCTGTAGGTGGCAGAGGGATGCCTGCCAGGGCTGGCAAGTGGATGGGACAGCAGAGCTGGGGCAGCCAGGGCCTACC